GGGTTTTTTTTTTTTTTTTTTTTTTTTTAAGTGAATGTAGCCAGGGGTCATCAGGGTAATGGAAGATAGAAGCAGGGTCTCTGTGCTATACACAGAATCCTCCGGACTTTCCCTCACCTATGCTGTTTCAGTAGCTGCAGCAGGGCAGAGAGTATTGCTTGTATACTTCCCAGGACCCAAACACCGCAGCATGATTGTGGGCTTGGACAGATGTTCAGCTTCTCCAGGGAGAATCCCTGCTCTCTCAAGAGAAACCATGAATGTACATATGCTCATCACTTTTCCCAGAGTAAGAGCAGGTGCTTGGGGAGCAAAATAACTTGAGAACAATCTGAGCAAAGTGGCTCTCTGGAGACTCTCTCTCAGGAGACAGAATTTCTGTAGAAGCAGCCACTACACTTTGCTGCTTCTCCCTTCTGCTTCCACAGGCAGGAACAGAACCAGACCATGCCCACAAAGTGCTTCAACGCTGGACTCTTCCAACCTGAAGCATTCAGGGGCCATGTTCTGCTCCCTGCTTGGTTGGGCCACACACATGCTCTCCCCTCCTTGTGGGGGAAGGGGAAAGAAAAGCAACCAAGCACACTGACTGTCTGTACCAACATTCAGTCTCCTGAGAGAGATTCCCCCAGGGAACCAATTCACTTGGGCTGTTCCTGAGTTATTTTTCTCCACTTCTATACTGGGAGAAAGTGACAAAGGTGTGCACAAGCAGTTTCTCCTGAGGGAGCAAGGACTCTCCCTGGAGAAACTGAACATCTGTCCAAGACCAGCTGTTACCCCATTCCATTTTGAGACCAGCTGCTTTAAGGCAGCGATGCTTTGAAGGCAGCAGCATAAGCCACAAGTGGTCTGTAACTCTGTCTGCCATTCTGGTCTTTATTCCCACCCAACCCCCACCAGGCTGGAAAGAGAAACAAACACAACCTGTGGGGTCAGAGGAGGAGGGACCCAGAAAAGCCTGGGAAGGCTCAAGGGAGACAAGGAACAACGAACTCCACCCAGGGAGCACACTCTGAAGCAGCAGATAACCTCCAGGGATGCCTACTGCCAGGTGGAGGATGTTTGTCTGCCTGCTTGCCTATTTTTCAGGAGGGAGGGGAAAAAGGGTGGTCACAGATGGTGGCCTGACAAGCCCTCAGAGCGCAGTCCCCCCATCCCCTGCGGTACCGGTTCTCCTTGTCCAGCTGGTTGGGGTCCTGCTTCCGCAGCAGCTGCTGGAGCTTGCCCAGGTCCCCAGTAGCAGCTGCACGGTGTAGCTTCCCCAGGTCCCGCTCACGGAGCTCATAGCCGCCAGAGCCCACGGGCAGGGAAGCGCTCTTGGAAGGCGACGGCAGCCCCTTCTTCTTCTTGCCAAAACCAAAGATCTTCTTCATCCTCCTGGGGCCACAATGAGGATACGCAGGGACACCAGGGCTGCTACCTGCACATGGTGGGTACCAATCCTAGTCGTCCAAGCACAGTCAAGCCCACAAGGGGGAGGGGAAGTTCCACTGTAGCTGGGGTGGGGCAGAGCCTAGGGCAATCACAGCAGGACAGGACACAGCTGGACCCGCAGGCTGGAGGTGGGGCAGGGACACAGGCTCAGTGGGTTCCTCACTCATGTGGCGGTGGCAACATCCACAGTAACCGCTGTCCAAGGACTCCAACAGCGATGAACAATGTCATCTTTTTCAGTAAATTTGGGAGAGCTGATAACATTGTTATAAGTTCACATATACAGATGATGGGCCAAAAGTGCAAAAATCAACCTGGAGAAGATAGGTATTAAAGTAAAGGAATTGTAAGGTGGAGAAGGAGCTGGTTCATGAGTTGGCAACAAGCAGCACTACAAGGGGAAGTATTGGGCTAGAATGTGATCACTAGTGGAATTCCTTGGGGATCAATCTTGGGACCACCAACAGCTCATAATCTTTCTGTAGTAAAAAACTTTACCTAGGAGGTCCTTCTCAGCTGTTTCCAACTGATTTGTTTCCAACTTTGAACAAAAAAAAAACCCTTTTGGATCAGTCTCCCATGCATGACTTCTATCTTGTATTGGTTGAATTTCATCCCATTGCTGCTACTTCAGCTCTCAAAGTATTCCAGGGGAGGGGGAGGAGTGCAAGGGGTTACAGGATAACCTTATTCTGCTCTGTGTTGGTGATGTTTCCCAAGTTTCCATCATGAAAACATTTCATCAGCACCCTTTTTATTAAAAAAAAATCTAAATCTTGGTTTGGCTCTTCTGTTTAAGGGTAAATCCAATGTGGACATAACCCATGCTTCAAGTGCATGCTCTCTGCCTCTAGGATGGTAGCACTCAACTTCTGGCCTTCAAGCCAAATCCAGCCCACAGGGCTCTCCATGTGTCCAGAAATTTGGCAGTGGGAGATGACTAGCAGCACAGTCACAGCTTCAAGAGTCACAGCCACAGATGAGGAACTGAAAAGTGCCCAAAGCACTTGGCATTCAAGGGTTCACCTCTGAAGCCCACGACAAGGTCACAGAGGAAGAGAAGAGAGCCTCTCCCTCCTGTAGCAAGCACCAGGTCTGGATTGAGATGGTAATACTTAAGCTACTTAAGCTGCTAGAATTCCGAGTGCCAAAACACAGGGGGCAGACAGGCGACACAGGAATTGCTCACTCAGGGCTCAGACACAAGTGACGATCCTAGCAAAAACTTGCCACGATTCCAAGGGGCAGCATGAATTTATAAAGGATCCGAGGGGCTGGGGGCTGATAACTAGTGGAGAAGGTGATCACACACTGCAGTGAGCCCATTCGCCCCCAGCCTCTTGCCTCGATCCTTTATAAATCCACAATGCCGCTTCCCAACTTCTCTGCCTCACTCGCGTCTGGGCAGCGACTGCCTGCAACTGTCTAAGACCAGGGGCTGCTATTTCCAAGCACTGGTCCGGCCCGGGACCCACCGGCCTTGGCTGGGACCCTTGTTTTGAGGCGGCTACATGGAGCGGAGGCTGGGCACGGCGGGTCGTAAGGGGGGACTGCGTCCTTCACCACGTCCGCAAACCTTAGAGCCCAGGCTCCTGGCACACCCCACCCCCCTGGTCCCCAGCGACAAAAGGATACGGCTGACGCAGCACCCCCAGGAGGGGTCACAGCGGCGCGCTCCGCACCAGCACCGGCAACCAGCTCCCGCGAACAGCCAGCAGCGCCGCACTTCCGGTAAGGGAAAGAAGCCCGGCTTACTGCGCAGGCGCCGTGGGGGCGGGAAGGAGGGGGAAACCTTGTCAGGACGCATGCGCCGTTCGGAGCGTGAAACTATGGGAACAGAGCTGACGCCAAGCTGGTGCCGTTCCCGCGAGAGGAGGCGGAGGGTGGGAGGACAAGTTTTGAACACGCATGCGCTGAAACAAGCCTGTGTCTCGAATATAGAAAGGGGTCAGGGGTGGCTTTACGTATACGCTCTATGTCTCTCTTCTGGGAGGGTCGGCTGCGTGCTGAGGGTGGGGCTGGGGTTTCCAGCCTACCACGTGCTGGCGTCACATGCCGCGTGCGGAGCTGCTCCAAGGCGCGGGCCGGGGCCGCCCCGTCTGGCGTAGCCCCCTGCGGCCGGGGGACTTCGGCCCACCGTGTTGTAGGGTCCAGGGGGAGCTTCTGCCAGCAGCCTTGGCTGCATTGGCGCCCAGTGTCTGTGTTTGAGGCTCTATAGAAACGCAGGGAGAGACCTGATAGGAGACTTGCAGGATCCTCCTGCAAGGCAGGAGGCGTGATTGTGGGATCCAGCGCCCCATCCAATCACGCCTCACTGCCAGTCAGGCCTGCTCGCCAGCCCTTGCACCACGAAGTCGCAAGCTCCAGCAGCTGCAGGTCCCACAGCTGACAGGACCCACAGCCATGGCAATGTCCCATGTGCTGCTGCGAGGCCTGCGGCTGACAGGGCTCCCAGCTGTGGCAACACGTAGGACACCACCATGCGTAGGCGACATGTAGGGAGGGCACAGGGCCCCACCCGACAGTGAGCACTCCGGTTGGTAGGGAGTACAGAATTCAGCCCCCCCTGAATCTTGATTCGGCTGGGGGACCCCCCACACCTCTGGTTGGCAGCTGGCGAGTGGGGCACAGCTGGTCCCAGTTGTGCCCCACTGGTGCCCCCCATGCAACAGTCACCCATGCCATCATGACCACCAGCCATAGCAGCGTGTGATGCATCCCCATGGTGGGAGCCCCCTGCAGGAGCTGTGGAAACCCCAGTTGAGGGTGTGTAGCTCTCACCCAACATTTCTCGCTACACATTCAAATTAAAGCTGGAGAGAAACCAGCATCCCCCTGCTGCCTCACAGGCTGCTCGGCCTGTCACAGCTACCGATGGAAGAGTACAAAAACAGTGAAGGGAAGTGTCATGGCACAATGTCTTCATCCACTAGAGTGTGTAGTCCTAAAACCTCCTGAAGGTCAGCACCTACACCCTTTCCATCAAAGAACTAAGCTCATCTCCTGTTTGTTCTAATTCTATAGCCAGATGAACCTGAACCAAGAGCAACTCTCCTGGGACATGGAAAGCCAAGTTTGGCATCTCACTTTCATCCTTTCACCAAAAGTTATCCTGGAGCCTAGGGGCACCCTGGGAATGGCCCCCGGCCCAGGACCCCACCAGGGCATCCTGGGCCATCCTTAAGGACACTCCAACCCCTGCACTAGCAATTATGAGGTGTTGGTTGAGGGGTTCACCTGCTCCATTGCCCAGTCCTCCTCAGTCTGCTGCTCAGCAGAAGGCCAATTAGCACTTGATTGGGACTCTCCTGCTTCTCCCATGCAAGCTGATGACCTGCTGCCTTTCAGGGGAGGAAGGGCTACTGTCAAGAACAATCCTCTGAGCTGCCTCATCCCACTTCTGCAGAATCAGCCCTTTATGAGGTGTGTGCTGTCATTTGGCAGTAATCCAGACACACCAGCCCAGCCTCAGTAGGGACCAGCTTTATTCCCCAGTAGAGATACTGGGTCTTTTCATCTTTCCCTATTTCATTCTGACAGTCCCAGTTGTTAGCCTTGGGTGTGTCTACACAGGATGCTTTACTGCTCAATAGAGCACGGTAACTGTCACTGTCTATACATGCAGATGCTTACTGCACAGTACTTTGCTTTAATCACAAGTTAATTTCCTACCTGTAAATACAAGTAGCAAATTAACTCCCAATTAGTTACTGCAGAGTAACACACATGTAAATGCTGACCAGGAGCAAATTTGCTTCCAGTCAGCCCCACCACCAGAGGGCCACCTACAGTTTAGCTCCAGGGCCCCTGGATTGGGAGTTTCTCTGGCCCGTGGACTGGGAGCTTCTCCAGCCCCAGGGCTGAGGCAGCTCTTTGCCTGCCCCATCCTCTGGCCTTTAAAAACCTCCAGCCTGGCAGTGCTGTAGCAAGGAAGTTTGGCACCTGGGGCAAAACCAACCCTCACCCCCAAAAAAAACTTTAATAAAGCCTTTAATACATTAATTACTCCCTTTATATGCTCTGTGACAAGTCAGAAATTAACGTATCAAACTCGTAAAGTCTTTATAGGGGCATTTAGGCTGATACAGTGGTTGGCGTGGAAACCAGCTGTAAGCCCTCAGTGGCTTGGCCCAGCCACGCACCACACAGGCAAAGATCAGCCCCCCTCTCCAGCTGCAAAGGGAAATTGTTATGGCTAAGTAGGCTTCGCTCTTTCTTCCCTGCTCCCCAGGAATAGGGCTGTGGCCAGGCAGGACAGGCCCCACAGCCACTGCTTTACCTGCCTCACCCCAGGCAGGATCAACTCTGCGGGCTCCAGCACCACTTGGGTGTAATCTCTTTCCTCCACCCCAAGCAATGTCTTCATGGCGCTGTGAGGTGAGCCCAAGGTCCTCAGCCAGTTTGTGCAGAGTGGGTGCTCCAAGACACATGTCTATACTAGGGCCTCTCAGGCCACATACAGGCATGTGGGCACTTCTGATCAGCACACCAGTGCTGCAAAAAGGTCAGGGTCTTGCAGACATAGTGAGCCACTGTCACCAACCACAACCGGTGGTCGGGGACCGCTTGCAAGTCCATGCCCTTTGTGTGTCAGCTGGATGACATCCTCATGCCCCAGAACCCTGTCCAGAACCATGCAGTGTACTCAAGCATAGACAGCCTGCCTGAGCCTCCTCTGTGGCCTGAAACCCACAGCGATGCATCACCAAGAGAGGACTCGTTGGGCTGCCAGGAAGCTGTCTTTCCATGCTCCTCGCCCCAGTCTCGTCAAGCAGCTCCAGGAGCTTGGGCCAGAGCCTGCCTCACCAGCTCTGGGGGCACAACCTCGCCCAAGAGGTCAGGCGCCATAGCACCACCAGCCTTCAGCAGCTCCAGCTCCTCCCCAGAAGGGGCCTCTGCCCACACAGCTGGACACTGTGCCCCAGGAGCCGCATGTCCTTGCTGCCAGCAGGGACCAGCTTCAGCTGCTGGGCATGCCTGCCACACCCACCTGGTAAGCCCTGCACTGGGGTGAGGGCCCTCCCTGCCCTGGACCTGGCCCCTGCCCCAGCCCCTGGCCCTGCCCCTGCCCCCACTCCTCATCTGGCCCGGCTATGCTTCCCTGCCCCTGGGTTCCCCCCACCACAGCACGCAAGGAGGTGGGAGACAGTGCAAACTTTCTTGAACTGCCTGTGCCCCCGCCACTAGATGGACATGGGCCTCTCACCCACAGAGGATAATGTTGATGTTGGCAGCAACATCATCCTTGGCTATAGGGGATAGAGACGTGTAGCGCAGCCACAGGGAGCCCTCTAGGTGATGGCAAATGTTGCATGGCAAGCTTGCCCTCTGCATCATTGAAACTCAGGGTCCCATGTCAAGTATGCAGGTACACATGGGGCACCATGGCAATCAGCAGCAGCAAGGTATAGTGGGTTGGGCACCCCTCAGTCCTCATGGTGCACCCAGGACACTCTCAGCAGGGGCATGCTCAGGGCATAGAGCCAGTGGGGGGGGAGGGCTGACCCTAGGCCTCCTCCCCAGAGAGGCCCCCTGGGGGGAAGGCAGGGGCACCAGCAGCTTGGCATCCCAGTCAGCTAGGAGCCCCTAACTCCCTGAGCCTGGGCACCATTGACTTGGCAGCAGCACAGGAGATAGGCTTGCCAAAGGAAGAGAAGTGGGGGGAGTGGGTCTGGAGCTGTAGCAGCAGGTGCTGCTAGGAGCCAGGTCTGTCCCACCCTGGGAAAATCCTCGCTCCCTGGGACCTTGGGCCTGCAGCCACCTGCCCCTGTGGAGTAAGCAGGAATGGAGAAGTCGGGGGGGGGAGAAGGGGCAGGGGGCTCAGCCAGTGGCTGCATGTGCCAGGGACTGCCAGGCCGACTTACCATGGTCCGTGGCAGTCCAGGTCATGCATGCATGACACCCCAATTTGAGGCTGGGCAGTTCACAGCCCCTTGGTATGAAGCATCTTATCTCAGGAATGTTGCAAATTCTCACAAAAAGCCTCTTTCTCCTGGGTCTGCAGGTCCTCTAGCTGCATGCAGGGGAGAGGCACCAGTTGACAGTCAGGTTGCCTTCAGGGTCACCGCTAGTCTCAGCCATGGCCCTGTGTAATTCACTGGCTCCAGTAGCTCAGGACCCAGGACTGGACCTTGTTCCTGAACTAGCTTATCACAGTGGCTGAGGAACCCCTGGCAGACTCATGGGCCTGGCAGGCAAAGGACATACCCTGCAGTGGGAGCGGGATGCACACCAGGAGGAGAGGGCCCAGCAAAGGGACCAAGAGGACCAGGAGTTCCAGGACAGGCAGCTGGCCCTGGAAGAGAGGCACCTGAAGCCCCAAGAGCACCAGGGCAATGGAGGCCACAGAGGAGGACAACAGGGTGCTGGACACCGTCTTGGTCCTGGCAATCACCTTCATGCTGCCTGCTGCCCAGCCACTGACTGCAGCCCCACCCACCTGACTTGCCCCTGGAAGCCACCCACCTTTCAGCCACAAGCCCTGCTGTGGGCCTGGGCTGAGGTGCAGCAGCCCCTCCACCAGCCAGGTGCCCGTGTCCCACGTCCCCCACCAGGCATCCCCCTTGCCTGGGCCCAGCTCCAATGACAGAGCTGCAGCATGCTTGCACAATGTTTTGCACACTACTTTGGGCCATGAAAGCGGGTGGCCAGGGAGCAGGGGAACAGAGCTG